GTGACCATTTCTATTACTTTAGCAGCTTTCAATTTCCCATATAAGTAGAATCATGCACTATTTTTCTTTATGTCTCTGACTTTTCATTTAGTATATTATCCTCTAGTTCTATTCGTGTTGTGGCATATAGCATTGTTTCCTTTTTATGGCTGAATAATAGTTGTGCGCATGTACCTATTTTTCTTTATGTCTCTGACTTTTCATTTAGTATATTATCCTCTAGTTCCATTCGTGTTGTGGCATATAGCATTGTTTCCTTTTATGGCTGAATAATAGTTGTGCGCATGCACGTGTGTGTGAGTGTGTGTGTGTGTGTGTGTGTGTGTGTGCGCGCGCGCATGCTTTTGGGGGTGGCAACTCTGTGCTGGTGGATATAGGTGGGGATACACATGACATGCAGGCCTAGGCCTGTGTGTACGTGAGTGTGTATGATGCAAAAACAGATGCACATGGTGGGGGTGGGGGTTGTCGGGATTTTCATGGAAAAAGGATGCAAGACTCATGCCCCATTTCCTTCCTTCTTCAGAAATGTTCCAGGTGGAGATTTCTCCTTGCAGAGTGGACAAGGATACCGTGTGTGGCTGTAGGGAGAATCAGTTCCAGCACTACTTGAGTGATAATCTTTTCGAGTGCATGGACTGCAGCCTCTGCCTCAATGGCACCGTGAATATCCACTGTGAGCACCACTCACCTGAACCCAGACTCTCTCCCCTCCCTGGGAAAAGCCCATATCTCCGGAGGAAGGTTTTCACCTTTTTGCACCCCTTCTCCATCTCTTCTTCCCATTCCCCAGCCTGTGGCCCCGAGCTCCTGTCTGGCACCTCCACCTGCCCCTTTTCTTCCCTCTGGTCCTCAGTACAGGCGGGCTTCCTTTAGCTGTGCTGTCTTCTCCTCACAGGTCAGGAGAAACAGAACACCGTGTGTACCTGCCATGCAGGGTTCTTTCTAAGCAACAACAAGTGCATCTCTTGTGATCAGTGAGTACCCACCAGCTGCTACAGATGAATGGGGACCTGGGAACTGGGGTGGATAGGAAGCTATGGATGAGTGCCCCTAGCAGAGTAGCAGGGACACCCAGAGTGTTCATGGTTTCTACAGTTGGCTGAGTGGGAGATTCTACATCAAATCAGGTAGTTCTTCCCCTTCCTTGAACATGTTCCTCAAATGTTAAGTCTTGCTGGGAGTGGTGGGGTAAGCCTTTAATCCTAGCACTTGGGAGGCAGAGGCAGGCAGAGCTCAAGGAGTTCAAGGCCTGCCTGGTCTGATCTGCATGTCAAGTTCCAGGCCAGAGAAATCACATAAAGGTAGAAGGAGAGAAACTATTCCATAAAGTTCTTCTCTGACCTCCACACATGGGCCATGGTATGCAGACCTATACATGTACGATCACACACACACACACACACACACACACACACACACACACACAGGTTTTCAGACTCTTGGACAGTGGGATCCACAGTAGTTCACCAATTCTAGAATGTATGCCTTTATGCCTGTGAAATCAGACTGCACTTTACAATTGATTATGTACCCAGCACCAACATGGTGGCTAATGACCACTTGTAACTACAGTTCTGGGGGAATCTGATACCCACTTCTGACCTCTGCAGACATTGCACAACATGGGTACAGTTATATACATGCAAGCAATACACTCACTCATACACCC